ATAATGCTTGAGGTGATGTTGGATGCTCTTGGCCTTAAGTACACATAAAGAGTTGGTGGGATGGCCATTTATCTTTGTCCTTCTTCTCCAACCATTGATGGTGTTGAAGAGGTTAAAGAGGCTCCTTATTCTTCCGAATCAAAGTTGTCAATGTTCTCTTCCTCTCCCAAGATTTGATCGAGATTGGTGTGGCTTTAAGGCTCTTCTTCTCCTAAGCCAGATGCTCCTTCATATGTCCTTAAGATGGCTGAACTTGTGGCTCCTCCTTCTTGGATGATCTCTTGCACAATCTTTAGGCTTTTGGTTTCTCTTCTAGATGCTTTTATATATGATTAGAAATCCTCAGCAACGGTGCCTAAAACTTGATGTCAAAATTGAAGTTATAATCCTACGATGCCTTAGGGTCGTATTCCACAAGGTCTTGTAATCTATTACTCATACCACACCATTTATGACACACGAAACAAGAGAGATTATTTAGGGGTCTTTATTCGAGTAACAAGCAGGAAGAGTACGGTGAATCTCAAAAGTAACGATACATTATTGTATAAGAAAGTGAATCTCTTATTTCATCATGCATACTAAGGCTAAATCATGTCATGCATCAATGACTCATCTATAGCATCACTCTATCCCTTCCACTAAGGTCATTCTCTACCCGCGCATGCGCTCTTGCGATAAAGATTTAACTAGCTAATTTGTGCTTTCACTTCATGTCATTACCTAATTAATGAAGAACAAAAGAGTTAGGATAGCACATGATTGAATGTGGACCTCTTGAGCCATAATCAATGGTTTACAACATCTATGATCTAATAATCAACCGATGATAATACTAGAGGTATAGATGGTTGATCATTCCCTCTATATTTGTGTAGCATCAATGGGGTATCACTAGAAGGTAATTTCTTAACAACCTAGATGATACTAAGCAGAATGCATATAGTAGCACACTATAAAATCATAAGCATCGATGATGAGCATTGAACTAAATCATCATCGAAATCATACACATATGCATTGAAGAATAAAGCATCCATGCATACATATAAGGCATCCAAAATAACAAGAATCAACACAAGCCTAATATGAAATCATAGCATCAATACATACAATGATAAACGAGTTCACATTATCATACAATCAATTTCTAGCTAGCAAAATAGAAAAGAGGGTACCACCATCGATGATGAAAACATATTCATAGGTGCACCCCCGTTACGAAAGCTACGCTCTTACTCGAGCAAAGTATACAAAAGTTTGTAAGTAGTTGTGCAGCCTACAAAACTAATGAGTTTAGCCCTCTATTTATAGGGGTATACTCATCCAAAAACCGCCTAAACTAACTTGGACAAGGTTTCTTTGACTTAAGGCCAAATTCATGGCCTAAAGATCTTGTTTTCGGCTTGGTCCTCTTGGCGGCTGCTAGGCGGCGGTTGTGCTAGTTGTTGGGCCACTGCGGGTTTCTGCTTCTACTTGGGCCAAGTCTTTGACTGTTGGCCTTCTCTTGGCTGTACTTGTGCTTACTAGTAGGCTTCGTTGTCATTAGACCTCGACTTTATCACGAAATCTTCATTTACTTATTTGTGGCTCCTTTGGTCCTCCAGAGTTGTCCAATGGTTGATCATAATTCTCCTAGGTCATATTGTACCTTGAAAACCATAAGAAAACATATCAAGAGGCATCAAAGAGTACAAAACACATCCTACGTCTATTAAAGAATCATTGATCAAACATTTATGATTTAGATAAGAAATACAAGAGAAGGGGAAAATGTATCAAGAATGGGAGTTATAAACACTATAAATACAAGGGCATCATAAGGCAATGGTGAAAGGAGGGAAGGCCTAGTTCCTTGTCTAGAGGGAGAGGAATTAGAGGTTATGTGCGAGATCATGTGAGCATATCGAGGTAGGATTTTGCTCAGTGCGCACTTAAATCTCTCTATCACAATAACTGAATCAATACATTTTCTAACACTTTGTTCATGGTAACATTTTTACTTTGGTAATTTGGTAGTAGTTTGACCATCTCCATTGCAAGGACTAAAATTCTAAAATTTCAAAAATTTAGCCTCCAAAGGTAAGATTAGAGTTCCAAAATGCTAGAATCGACCAAAATTTGGACTAGATTTGGAACAAAAAAAAATGATGGACAAAATTGTGGTGGTCCACAACTTTCTAGCCGTTACACTTGTTGCGCGAGGGTCGTGAGCCGCACGCGCGGAATGGGGCGCGCCTCCTACCACGCGGTCGAGCCACCGCCGCCTCGTGCAACTAGTTCTTTTTTCCTGTTATGTAAAGAAAAAGCAAATTTCCATTCAGCCCCTCAAATTAACCCCGACTGCTTTTTTGACCTCCAACGACTATTTTTTCCTAAATTCTCTATAAATGGACACCATTTCTTCACTTCAAGTTGTTTCAACCTCCATAATTTCTATCCTTCTCGTCATAAACACAATTCTTATTCTTCCCATTAAACAAAAAAACTTGTCTTCTTCTTAAACTCTTGATTATGTCTCAAACTATTCGCCGTCCAAATTGGAAGGATGATGAAGATGTAGTGTTATGCAACACTTGGATTCAAATTTCGGAGGATGGCTTCGTTAGTCACTATCAATCTACGACTGAGTTTTGGAGGCGAGTTCGAGTCGTGATTTCTACTAAAGGATGGGGGATTTCACGTACCGACATAAGCTTGGGTGTTCGATAGAAGACCATCGACCATCAAAGTGGTGTATGGAATGCACCCTCGACGAGGGCAAGCGCTACACTAATGAGCGCAGAGAACCTAAGTGATGTGGCTAGTAATACTAATATTTATTATGGTGTGCTTAATCTTTCTATTATGTATGTAGTTTCTAATTATTATACAATCAAACTAATTTTCTAGGTTGAACGGGCAATTTTTTGTTGTTGCGGACACCAGAAAACAATTCAAATTGATGCCTTGTTGGAATATACTTCAAAATTGTCCTAAATATATGCAACAATTTTATGCACCCGTGGCACCCATTCCTCCAATAGATGGATCTTCGTCACGCATGCCATCCGACGAAAGTGGCTTGACATTCAAGCAAATGCATCTCCTTTTGGTATCAACCGTTCTAAAGCTCGGAATAAGCAAAAGAAGAAGAAAAGAGGAACTCCACATTATTCCACAGAAAGTTGGGACAATGATATGGAAATTTTAGTGGACAATTCAAACATGCATGCAAGCAAGCTTATGCACCCGACATGTAATCTTTTACGTTTATTGTTTTAAGTGGTTTGATTTATGAGAAATGTATTGCTTTACCTAGTTTGATCTATGGTTAATGTATGTGTTCTTTCAATTATAATTTGTCATTCAGTAATGCAAGTACTTTCTTTACTAAAACAATATAACAAGAAAATGGTAAATATAGGGAATACCCAACAAAAACATAGAGAATAGAGTAATACATCAAAGCAAATACACCAATAAAACAAATGGAATAAAACATTACTACTCTCCTCCATGTCTTGTTCAAAGATGCTCAACAAAATCATTTCTCTATTCGTGATGTACTGGACGATTACGAATCCTATTATGCCTTGCCATGTACTCCATTAGAGTTGGAATGTGTGACATTTGGATTAGTCTCATATTCAGCATTCTCCACAAACGCATCTCTACTCTCGTACCGTTGATATTACACTATCATATTATGTAGAATAATAAAAATTAATATAATCTCACCAAGTGTTTGCAAATCCCATTAATGACTTACACCTCTAACAATGTCACTTCTTTGTTGTAGTATGCCAAAGAAGTTTGCAAGCACCCTCTTTTTCTAACTATTTGGATTACTATATGTCTTATCAATTACCTCATAGATGACTTTAGGAATAATTCCTTTGAATTCTTGATCTAAAAGTGGGGATACTACTAGAGAATTTATGGTATTGTTTGATTCAAGTGTCCATAAAAGGCATGCCAAATCAATGTGTCGTACAATGCTACAGTTTCGAGGATGATGGTTTGTTTCTTCTTGTGTCCAGTGTATTGGTCTACCCATGCAGTCGGCCAGTTCTACTACTCCTCGTGCATGATCAAGAAGGCTTCAAAGATCTTCCACTCTTGGTACATATAAGTAATGATGACTGTAAATGTTAGTGATGACAGAGCAAAATATCCTCAGGCAGGGGTCATCCGATATCGCTTTGTAAATGCCCTAGCATCATAAGTTGGATCCAAATTGAAGTAATCTTGCATCAAGCACTTGTGACCGTCTTCCTTGTTACACCTCACTGATTTTCATGAGGATGAACTACGACGAGATGTAGTTGCTTGTTGTTGTTTCATTTGAATGTCGTACATCATGAACGTCTTTGTTCGAGTCGAGCTCAAGCTGACACCCATACTCCCATTGACTACCATCAGCTTCCCATTGTCTCCCATCATCTTCTAAACTAGAGAATCCATGGAGAAAAAGAGCTTTTGGTGGCTAGAGAGATGTATGAAAGTTGAATGAGTTTTCAAGACAGAAGACTGAATGGTGGATTTATGGAATGATCAATTTTGAGGGTTCATTTCTAGAAAAACGAAAAAGATTCATTACCCTACTATGTACTAACGAAGGAAACAACAAAACTTCTTTTCTTACCACCAAATGAGCTACCCTGTTATCCATACAACCAAAAAATACCTTAAACTTCTGAAATGGGCCACTCAAAGCTCTAATCTTCACTAAAGATGATATTCATTATTAAAATAACTCATTTAAAACACGCCTAGGAAATTTCCATTTTGGTTTGGTCACTAGGGCTGAGTTTAAGAATACGATTGCTTCTTGATTACGTACTTTTCAATAACCTATAAGAAACTTGTGATTAAGTCTTCATGCATATTTCATCAACTGATGAGAACACTCTACTTATGTAAATGAAGGTATGAAAATGATTAAGATGATTTGATAATTGAAATTATACGAATCAATCAGTTATAGGTTGAAAATGATTTTAGATGTGAATAGTTAGTTAGTTTTCAATATTGAATCCCAAATTGGGAACAGAGATGAACTCTTTATACAGAGTGATGAGGGCATCATGGCGCCTGGGGTCCACAATTTCAATCCTATGGAATCCAACATCCTCAAAGTGAGCCTCAACGTTGACCCCCATCGAAATTAACATTTGAACGAAGTCCCTCTGTCTATCCACGGTGGGGTCCATCCCGAAGCCGTTGACAAGGCAGCGAGGGAGGAACGGAATCTTGGCGAGGTGGGGCCCAGCAGACATTGGGTTGCAGTAATAGTGGTCGCGGTCCACGCCCTCCGGCAGCGCCAACTTCCAGACCAGGTCCAGCACCGGGAGTGGCACAATTGGGTCGCGGGCGAACTGAAGTTCTGACCTCGTCCTCATCTGCCCTCCAAACAACGGCTGGTTCATGATCACCCCTGCAATCCGGAGGGGACCCAGGTCCACGTCCACGGCACCAACCGCGCAGTGGAAAGCAATGTTCCCACCATTCCCGGACCCGCTGAGAAAGCATCGGGAGAAGTCACCATGCTCGCGGAGCCAGGGGTCTCCGTTTTGGTCATCTTCTGCCTGTTTCTTCACCCAAAGGAGGGCGTCTATTGCGTCGTCGTACTGGCCAGGGAGGCGGACCTCCGGTGAGAGGCGGTAATTGACGAGGATTATTATGGATGATATCGCGATTGCTGTCCGTTGGCGCTCCAAGTGGAGGGGAGGATTGTCCGCAGAGAACTGCACCCAAGAGCAACCATAGAAATAGAACACAATCGGGAGTCGTCGTGGAGGCTCTCCAGTGGTGGATTTGAGGGGAAGGTATATGCGGACGAAGGTGTTGGTGGTGGGGTTGATGATGGAGTCTTTGGAAAGGACAGGGTCGCCAGAGGAGGGGTCGGAGTTGGGGACGACGGGAATGCTGGTTAGAAGGCGACAGACTGACCCATCTGGATTAAGGATTATGTTGAGGTGTTGGAAGGGGTTGATTGGTTTGTCGGTTGGAATGTCTTCGGCTTTGCTTTGTGAAATATCACCTTCTTTCATGTTTTCATACAATTTTCTTCAAAAATGATATGATCGATTTCTGGGTTTTTTTATTTCAGTTCAATTTGTCCTGTGTTTTCTATTTTTTATTCTTATTTTTGGGGTGGGTATATTCAAATGAATTAATCAGAGGTTATTTTTGGGGTGTGACGAGACTTAACAATTTCCGGAACAATAGTGGTTGACTGCACTATTTTTAACATACACATGAAAAATGCATTTGAGCGGAGAAGGACGAGAAGCTTGCCCGGAGACCAGGAGAAGAACTGCTTACTTTTTATTATTATTTTCTCACCATGTGCATTATTTTCTACTTATTTTAATCCTTATTTAGTTACATATATCCCAAACATGAAGAACTACATCGACTCATCATCTATAGTGCATGTTTGCTTACACTTAATGTACCAAAAAGAAAAATAAAACTTTAAACCTTAAATAAACAATTTTTAACAAATATAAGCATAATAATAATTTAGATAAATAGCCCGATATCTCCTACACTCTATGTAAATTAACAATTTTAGGCCAAACTTTCTACAAAGACAAAACTAGTATGATCTTCATGAATAACAGGCAAATATGGTCTAATCTTAGAGCTGACAGTCAATACTAATAGTCAACCCAATTAACCATTAATGACTCAACATGAATTGATCATATCACATCAACGAAAACTAGTTTAATAAAGTCTTCCACTATTTTGCATTTTTGGATTTTATCCGGCCGTCGCTGTCAGCATCCGCCTCTTTAATCATCTCGTAAGCTCCTCCACTACGAGCTTGTGCCTCACCTTAGCCATCAGGTGCACTCGATTCGCCACAGCTATGTACTCGTTCTATACCGATCGACCATGAAATACGAAAAAGGGATATTTTTCCAACAGTATATGTGCAAGTGTAGTTTAAAATTAAATGACAATAGTTTTTGCAAATATTTTTAAAAATATACATTATGCAAAATAAATAATTCATCACTTGATTTAAGTTGCATTTTATTGGGCTTACACCACATTTATATCACCAATTATATTATGTTGCGCATCTATATAGTTTGAGCAACATTGCAACAAATAATGTTGGAAAAATTGATATAATGTTATAATAACATATATTTTTTAATTAATTAATTATAAAAAATATTGATCAATTAATTAAGTATAAAATCACCTAGTTACATATACACCTTGCATACTTACATGTTTTAACTTTTTTAGGTGTGCCTTGTTAAAAAAAATTGTAAACTAAGAACAAGCATTATTAGTAAAAAAAAAATTTACTATCAAACTTAACAAGAAAAAACAAACAAGTTAATTGTCCAACTCCAATAAAGAAAGTGTCAAGTGCCAAATCGAAAAAGTGCAGACTCTTTAAAATGCAAATCAAAATTTAACATCCTGCCACGTAGCCCGATATATATTATGTGTCTTATATCTTCATTACATCATCTTTGATTTCTCTTTATCCATGCCGCTATAATAATTTCTCTTATTTTAACAAATTATAACTTAAATATTTTATTGTAGAAACTTCTTTATTGTTGTAGGCTCCCCTCTTGCTTCTATTCTCCCAATCACCAATAAATATCGTAAAAGCCATTATTTCTCCTAGAAATCTTTGCCCAGCGGTGGTGCTTTTAATAAGTTGCATTGTGTTGGGATTTCTGATATGTTGTCATCACCAAACAGGTATAGGGGTGATAATAGGTTTTCCGGTTATCGGAATAACCAGTGGTATCGGTATGCAGCAGAAATTTTTTTGGGGTTAGTATACTGGCTTGAACATGGTTAATAACCGGAGATTAGCCGGTTATAGCAGATATACCGATTATCTCCCCACTCCCCAACTTCTTCTCCAACTGCGACCCTTCCTACCTTTATTCTCTCCATCTTCGTTCCTCACTAACCCCAGATTCATCCACGTTCCCTCATAGATACCGAGGCCGTAATTGCCACCGCCTCGCTGATGCGGTCATCGCTAGTTCACCATCTTCTTCCGTTTGAGACACTGCGCCAAAAACCCCATTAGATCTAGGAAGATGGGGAAACGTAGTGTCCAACGGCCCTAATCCCCTCTAACCCTTCCCTTCTCTTAGTTTGTTCTTCTCTTTTGTCCACATTCCTGCAGATCGAGAGACGATGAGTCGACAACCACCAGAAAACTAAGAGAGAAAGAGAGAGAGAGAGAGAGCCGGTGGATAGTCGAAGGCCACTACACCCGTATCTGTTGCAAATTGCCAAGCCCCCTACAGATCTCTCATCTCTGTAGCCGATTTCGACCAGAGGAGAGGCACCTTCGGCAGCCGATTTCGAATCCCCACCGTAGATTCCCACGAGCCATAGCAACGACGACGAGGTTTCCGATGACTTGTGATTCCTCTTTCCTAGTCGCTGGCGACGAAACATCTTGCCCCTGACTAATCTCCCAACTGGCCAGGCTCCTGAACCACCGATGTTGTCGTGTCAAGGTCCAGATCGCGCTCCCATGTCCCAAGTCCAAAGTGCATGTTCTACTTCTTCTACTTTTTGCGGTTTTCTGGTATAACCAATTTGTAACTAGTAATCGGCTATCCAGTTAACCGGTTAGAAATCGGTACCGATTGAACTTCTACTTGTCGCTTCTAGTATACCGTTAACTGGATCATCGATTACCGCTTAAACCAATAACCTACCAAATAGCAGCCATAAATAGGTACATATGTTTGTTTTCACGACATAGGATACATTTATCGGACGATTGTTCCAATCTATCCAATATCGGTGATTGTTGCTTTTCTTTCTTTCATAATTTTTTTTGGTTTTATCGACTAATTATTTGTTGTATTTTTTGTTTTGATGCTATGCCAATAGCAATCAAGTCCAAGCCTCTAGCAATGTAGGGGTTACTTGATTGAATCGGTGATCAAGAATATGCTTTTTCTGATTGATGAATGATTTTTCTTGGAATTCTTATTTATTTTATGATTTCTTGTAAAAAGTAATTTTCAGAGGCAATCGTGACAATCTATCTCTTCACCAATGTTGTGTTTTTATGAGGGAAACTCTTGTAACTAAAAAAACTTATATGTGATAATATTGTTGCCACAGACAATACATATTTGTGATAACTTTGTGTGAAAAATTAGATTCACCAATGTAAACTATTTTTAAAATGCAGTTGTCACAAATATTATCACATATGATGAAAATATTCATAACAAAATTGTTATTTTGTAAGAAAAGCACTATAATCAAAGGTAGAATGTGATAAAATTTCTACAACTGTAACAATATCTGTCACAAAAATCTAATTTATGAACAATAGCATCGTCATAGAAACCTCATTTTGTTTCTAGAGAATTGTTTGAAAGGTGTATCATTTGTGACTACTTTAACTGATCACAATTGAAATATATTTGGTCGCTTTACAAACTCGTCGCAAATTTATAGTCTTCGTTACAAACAAAAGTTGTCACGATTGTTAATGAAAAAAAATCTTCATGAATAAAGCATATACATGTTGGTTATACTTGTTATTAGGTGTTGCAAAGATTGTTAGCGTTGTTGCCTAAAATTATGTTGCAGATGATGTACACATATGCAACACTTTTTATTGGGTAAATTGCAAGTTTGGTCACTTGATTTACTAGAAAAATTCATGTTAGCCACTAGAATTACTTTATTCCATCCGTAGTCACTTAAATTAGTTCAACGATTCAAGTTTGGTCACTCTCCGTTATATTTTGCTGATATGGCAGTCAACTCTGATAGTTGACCGTTAAATGAGTGACGTGGCAAATAAAAAATAATTAAAAAATTAAAATAAATCTTTTACAACATTATCAAAATAAATTACTTTAAGTAAAACCACCTATAGGCGATATTACCAAAAAAGTTGTAAATGCGATATACAACACTTTCATCTCTTCTTCCAACACAATTCAAGGGTTGGCGAATGATATTATTCCTGTAGTGATCCTGAATAAGTGCTCCTCGTTATATGTTGACTATTTATCTTCCTGTATCTGAATATCTGTCGCACCCATCACAAAGAACATCATGAAATCGAATAAGCGTTGTTGTTCGTATTAGCACTCTAGATAAGTGCATTGAGCTCGTTCGAGCTCATAATTAGACCCAATGATATAATCGTGGAAGCTAGTTTGATCTGCTTCAAAGATAATAGAATTGGATAATGTATAGATAGGCAAATGGCGGAGTTAAAGATAAGAGAATTTAGAAGGAAGAATCAAAAAGTCCACAAGAGAGAATGAGATGATGTATAGAGAGGTAGATGGTGGAGGTTTGTAGCAGGGAGCGGAAGAGTATAGGACAATGGAAGACCATCAGATTATTGGTTTTTTCAAATTTATTTTGGGAATTTGAATAGATAATAAAATTTGGTTAAAATAGTTTTCGTTGAGGTGACAAATACATGATACCCAGATCAGCAACTCATATTGAGTCATTAACTGTAAAGTGGGTTGACCATTAATATTGACTGTTAACTCACATATCGGCCCATATATTTCTTTTATTCATATAAAATAAAATTATAATCTTTATTAAAATTTCGTGCCAAAGTTGTCCATTTATTAAAATAAATACTTTGCGTAGAAAAAGCAAGTTTACCAAAGCTAAGCAATGATAACACAAGGTTGTATTTCATGGGTTTTAGTTACAGTAGTACTCAACTTTAAATTGATTTCTAACCAATTGAAAGAGGTTCTTGAGTGTTAACCAAACTAAACTAAAGAGGAAGTAATGACAACTAACTAAAGGGGAAAATATGGGAAAAGAGATGTTTGATCTGACATGCACCTGGAACCATGGTTGGGACACTTCAAGAAGAGACCTTGGTATCTCTCACAAGCATTTCGGATAGTCTCATCTTCCTCTTGCGCAAAATTGGTGATCTCCTTCTGCAGATTCACTATTTTAGATGGGGGATGATAGCGGGTCATTGAATTTATTGGACATGTCGATCCATGTGGTGATCAAACCTGGAGGTCCCTTGTCCAAC